AACACACAGACACACCACACCACACACAGATACACCACACCACACACAAACACAGACACACCACACCACACACAGATACACCACACTACACACAGACACACCACACCACACACAGACATACCACACCACACACACACACCACACCATAAACAGATACACCACACCACACGCAGACACACCACACCACACACATCACAGAATAAACATAGCACATACAGATATACACACACCTGCACACACCACACACAGTCCCAGAAGTGCATGCACACACTCTTCCCACACATGTGCACACACAGAGAGTTGTAGATGTACGGAGGTGACCAGAAGCACTCTTCCCAGAGCAGGACTTTCCTCACCCCACCTGTGAGTCCCAGACCAGAGGGAGCTGGCCCTGGGAGTGCCCTGAGGGCCTCTCTCCACACCTGTCTGCTCTTGGCTCCATCTGTGGTCAGTGTTCCATCTCCTCCCAGCACCCAGATAAATGGAGGAGAGCCCTAACCAGCAGAATCACATCATTTCATGGTTGGCCAGGCTCACACTCAGTGGTTCCCTTGAATTGTCCATGAGCTCAGGCAGCAGCCTGGCTGTGCGGCCTCAGCCTCCCTCTCTGGGAAATGGGGAGAACTGTTCACAGCCATGCAGAGCAGTGAAGACCACAGCTGACTACAATGAGATGCGGCTCTGGGGACTTCAGAGGCTATGCACAGATGGGTGGTGTGGCCAGACATCACAGTGAGGGTGGAGATAGCAGGGCCACAGTCTCCCTCCCTTCAGGACTGGGTCCTCCAGGAGCCTGGGCTCAGAATTCCATAGTAGGGAACCTTCCACACGATGAACTGCTCATGGTGGGGACTGGGGGCCGTGCATGCCCCCACTGGCTGATCCTCTAACCCCCTTCAGATGCCGGTCAGCACAGAGCCTAGGGACAGAGGAATGCCATGTGGACCAGTCCTGACTCTGTCTCTGCTTGGACCCACTACTTCAGTCTCCGACCACTTTCACCATCTGCCATAGAAAGAGATCGACTAGGTTTTTGGAGACTCTAGATGCTAAAATTCCCATCGGCCCTCTCCTCTGGGTGCTTGATCCTG